CCAGCTGGCCGCTTCAACTCAAAAGACTGGCAGTGACGGTGTGAGTAACATTGCACGGTCTGCGGTCTACCCAGCTGGAGCCGGCCATTCATCTACTTAGTTAGTACTACATTGATGGTCTCAAGTTGAGTCTCAAGCCTCAAATTTCATTTCGGTCTTATTTGCGACAATACCATTGTGCATTGATTAAATCTAGGGATCTAAGAGATGTAAAGTTTGTATTTCAAATAAGTGAGCAGTTATTGATTATTTTCTAATAAGCCTGCTAATTGTAAAGCTGTAAAGCTGAATTGTAAGCTGTATCCGTCGCACTCCTTACAGCTGAAATGAAGCTGAAGCAAGAAACGATAGGAGAGAGTCCCCAGCAAAGCGCTGAGTAAATTACCATCCATGAGGAGCTTCCGAATGACAGCAAACTGTGGAGCCGAAGACCCTTAGTGAAAATGCGGCCCGTTGTTCCAGAGTCGAATATACTTAGCCACGATGCCTTTCGACTCCCCGATATTGGACCTGAGAAGTGGTACTTCAATGCACAAATACTTGTTGCGCGCAGACATTTTGGGAACATTCAACAGAGACAAGCAACCTTGGTTGTTTCGAACACTGTAGAGCGCACAAGACTGTAAGTAATTACGGCATATTCAGTTTGCTACAATTTCTTTGAGCAAAGCTCGCATAGGAAGCAGCACCTCACAGCATCGCACAGTAACTGTTGTACCCAGCCAATTGTTCCACCCAATCAGTTTATTATTTGTTTATTTGTTCAGGAGGGGGTCGCAAACAGCTAAGCTTAGGCGTCTAGCTAGAGTGCCAGTAGCAGATGCAGAAATTGAGCTGCAACAAGCGCTTCGAGGGCGGAGACCCAAACTGTTACTCTCAGCCTTGCTTGGCCTCTCCTGTGATTATGCTTGTAGGCTATTGGAAAGCGATCAGCTCTGGTGGTACCGTACGAGTACGTGTGACACTGTTCGGGGCCGGGTACTGTCCCGTTAGAGAGAGCAGACTAGCCCTCCATTCCTGTTTATTTCAGCCTAGCTGTAGACTACCGAAAGGTACCGGTAGGGTTGAGGGGAGAAGACTTTCGGGGAAGGTTTCCACGTTTAGTTTCCACGAGCTGCAGAGCCGAGCACATCGAATTCGCAAACCACCAAGTAGAAAAACAGAAAACTGTCTGGAGACTGAGCCTGACATGGTGGATTACTTTGCCGTGGTAGTGCATCCATTGCCTTCCTCGCTAAACTGGGCTGAGGACTTCTCATTTCAGGCTGTCTTTTCTCCTCGTACTGACTGGTACGGCGGCAGTACTGTGCCAGGCACCAAGAACCACCTTGGGACTCTTGACAATCCTCCCCCTTCTCAACTTGAAATTCAAAAACGTACAATCCACCAGTCCAACGGAGCTGGGTCTCCTCGGACAGAAAATAGCTTGAGCGGAGCAATCAAGAGATTCCCTCTTTGAAAAGTTGGCTGGTTGAACGGGGACGTATACGAATGGCATCAATTCAAGTTACCTGTGGATGGCTCCAGTCAAGCCACCAAAGTACCATTGCTTGAGCTTATTCTCGTGCCAATGGGTAGACAATTTTTGAGGTGACGGTACAGAAAGTCGCATTCGTTAGCCACGGCTCCGGAAAAGCACCACACCTGACGAGGCCACGATGAACTCACCGATGCTGTCTCTGTCTCAGAGATCATGATACCTCAAAATGTGTCTCAGAAAAACAGTCAAACCTAGAGTCTGACAACCGTGGAAACGTTTGAACCGGAAAGGAATGATGATTCATTCAAGGCTGGTGTCGAGTGACAGTCAAATCGGCCATTTCGATGTCGCGGCTCCTCTCGTTGAAGCACGTCTCGAAAAGAGGGACACTGGAGCAAGTCCACAACAAGACGCGGACGACAATCTTCTCAGAAAACCTTTTGCAATCCGATCGTTCTCATCCCTAATCCATTACGATGACGAGAGTTCCTCAGTGGTTCTATTTCCTCCATAATGATCCTCGGTGTCGATTCCCTGGAGGGTGGTGCGAATACGATATGAATATGAATCAAGCCACCGAGCAGCTCTACCAACAAAATCTCACTCCAAACTTGTCGTCCAACCCAGGACGCCATTTGGTTCCCTTGCTTGCGACGAATGGCTGCCGATATGAATTGGATTTCCAGCGGATGACACAGCGCAACAACCGGAGCGGGAAGGAACGTCCCATTGAACGAACCACCAATGGTTTGATGCCAACGACGGTACCGCCGCGTGTCACACCGGACGCCCATGCCACAACCACTACCTTTCGCCATAACATTGGTGACGCCAGTACGTCAAACCTACAAAAAGTGTTGTTACCGGCTAGTCAAGAACAAGCACACGAAGAGCTCCAGCTAATCTTATCTTCCAAGGCGTGGCGGTATCAAAATGAATTCAGCAGTGCGAGTGGCATCTTATACCGATTTTTGGGTATCCTGGAAGCTTACCCTGAACTTGCCAAGGCCCGATACAACTCGGGCCACATCACTCGAGCTACCCCCCTCCTCTGCTTGTGCTGTGTGAGAGCGTGCACCACGATAGTACCGATGAAAGTCATTCAAACCGTGTACGACTTGTACCCGTCTGCCGCCAAAGAATTGCACGGAGGGCGCCAGTACACACCGTTGGCATTGGCATGCCTGCTGCGAGCGCCAGGACAAGTCATCAAGTTCCTCCTCGACAAGAATCCCCAGGCCAAGTTTGTGAAGAACTTCGATGGGTTCTACCCAGTGGAGGCTGTTGTGAGAGCTCCCAATTGGTGGGTCCACCAGTTCGGGATGCCATTGACGTTAGAGCTGTGCCCTGGAGAGCACACCAGGGACTTGCGTTTTGGACCATGCAAGCAGCCCCTCTTGGAGGAAGCTCTTGTTTGTGGGTTTTCCGCCGCAGATCTCCTTCTCCTTGCCGAGAAGTTCCCGCCGGAAAGTTTTACAGTGCCTGCCTCCGCTTCTCTGGGTGAGGAACAGTGCCAGCTGCTACGGTTTCTACTTCCAAGGCTCAAATCTCTTGCCGTGCACACACAACTCTGTTCCCATGAGGCCATTGACGAGGTCGTCACCAGTCTCGCTGGCAACCAGTCCGTTACGCAACTTGGGAAATTGGTGTTGAATCGGAGGATGCTTCCGGTTTGGAATCGCCATTTGGAGCGCATTCTCAAGACCAATACAGCCATTGAGATTCTACAGCTGGAAGTACCGGGCACAGTCCGAGCACCCACAGATATCCATCTCGACGGTGCCATTGTGGATGGCTTGTGCCACGACCAAACCCTCCGAGAGCTGGAATTGGACGGCTTTGACGATGTGCGTCGTCGTGGCACGAACGGGGTGTGGACCGCGTCAAGCCACAGCGTTGTCCGCAAGTTGGTTTTGAAGAAGTGCCGCTTTTCCATCGATATCTTGAAGCCACTGCTAGAGATCTTCCCGCAACTGGAAGAGCTAGAGCTGGAAAGCGTCAGAATTGGCGGCGGCGACGACGCCGAAGCTACAAGGTTTATCGTGATGGCGTTAGAGCATCCGACTCTCACCAGTCTGTTCGTCAAGTGTTGTCCCTGGTGCTCGTACGATGTTTCGCAAATCTGTCAAGCTCTCAAACAAAACACATCTCTCCTTCACTATTCCGTCGAGTCTAGCTTCGATACAGTGGCGAAGAACAAGATATTGATGGATGCCTTGGAAGTGAATACCACTTTGGAACGAATCGATCCGTGTTGTTTCAAGGTTGGTGTGATGAAAAGCATTCGACCTCGCAGAACCGCACATCTTTTGCGGCTCAACGGGTGCGGCCGAGGTGAGATCCGAAGGCACGACACTGGCTTGGCCCGTTTCGTGGAGTTGCTTGCCGCTTTGAAGATGGAACAAAAGGACGATAATGACGACGATGACGACGACGACAAGCAACACCTAGCGTTTCAGCTTTTGAACGGTCTGCTGCAGGAGGGTATCCATCATTGGGCGGTCTCCATGTAGTAGCCTTTCATTTAATTTTAAAAAAAAGTTTAGACAGACACAAGACAATCCTACCGGTAGCAGGTTCTCAGTCCAGCAACGCAACCGTGACCTTCTGACGATCATTGGTGTTACAGTTCGAGTTGCTGGATCTTCAGATGGCATGACATGTATGTACCAGTCACGCGGCAGGAGCGCCATGGTCGCTGGTAGTAGAGTGTAGCTACCATTCTCCTCCCAGCATTGTCATCCATGTGAGTATTCTTAGTTAGATCAAGGCATTGTGTGTACTTGGCTGAAGCTAGCCACATGGTCAGTTCCTTGGCATCTTTGGCCTCACCGGTACCGTACCTATATGCATTGCGTACCGGCTCGGGAAGGTCCCCAGCGCCTTTCAATATGTCCGGCACCGCTGTGTCCCCAGCATTGCTTGCTTCCATTTTGTTCCGATTTCCTTTTCCTTTCCAGATTAGTTAGATCAATGCATTACATACATGTACATGTACTTGGCCAGAGCCAGCTAGCTAGCCACACGGCCAATTCCTTGCCACCTTTGACCTCACCGGTACCGAACCCACCGGTACCAGTAGAACCGCTGGTGCCGCCGGTATCGGTGTGTCAGCATGCCAACAGCTCCACTAACTTGTGTTCAAGAATGCAGTCCTGTTGCGAAAAAACATTCTTGTAAGTGGAGGCGAGCCCGCTCGTAGGTTAAAAAATGACGGTCGTTAACTCCATTGGTTGACAAGACGTTCTGCTTGTAGGAATTCACTGTGCTGCAGTCCAATTTTGTGTTGCCATGCTCGGCATTCACATCCTGTCTATTGGAGGGAGTTTCTTCTTTGTTTTCGGCTCTTTTTCTTTCTCTTGGATTGAGGTCGGAGCAGGCAGTTGACTGAGAGTGGACAACGAATGTATGGAAGGCATTGATGGCAGTGCTAGGTAGTTGTGGATGGACACGTTGATACATCTATTCATCACTCTCTGTTATATATCATAGAAGTGTAGATAGATAGATTGATTGATTATCTATCTTGCTACAGTACAGAACCATGATGCTCTGTGGTAACATTCCAATGTCCACCAGGACACCATCGTCCTCGGACTATGACAACAACAACAATACCACTGGCAATACTACTAGTAATGGTAGCAATGCTGCTGCCAAAGCCCAACGTCAAGCAGCCGCGAGAACCGCTGCTGCCAAGAGCAAATCGAAACTGTGGGGTCCTTCTCATTCCTTTGACAGCGACGATGAGGAAGAAGGTACTGGTCAATTAGGTGCCCGTCCTCGACAAGCTGCCAGTGGTTGGTGGGATACCGTCAACAAAGCGTGGACCGACTTGGGACACTCGGCCCAAGAGGTGGTCAATAGCAGTACTTGGTCAGCAGCAGCAGCAACCGCCACTACTAGTAGCGCACCCGTCAAACGCAGTCGATCGAGTTTGGTAGTCAAGAAACCCATGGCAGGAATCCCGGAAGAACAAGAAGCAGACGAAGACTCGACAGATCCATCCACTCAGGAAGACTCACATGAAAATAATACCAACAGCAACAGCAATACCAACAACCAGCATCATGGGACATCACATGATGGAAGGAATGCTGCATCGCAGGCTACCACTAGTGGATTCAGCAGTACTGCCAATGGCAATCATCGCAACATGTCCAGAGGCTCTTCCAGAGCTACCTGGTCCACCAGTCCACCACAAGATAACACTTCAGCAGCGGCTTCCACATCACCGCTCAATACCAGTGCCGAAAATGTAGCCAATAAGGTCGAAGAATGGACCGACTTGTTCAGCAATGCGTGTGGAGCTGCCAGTCCTTGTTCCGCACAAGATTTAGAAGAACTATTTGGAAAACAACAAAGAAGACACACCAAGCAACAGCCAGCTGGTTTGGGAATTGCGCCCATGAGACTCGATGATGAGGATGAGGAAGAAGATGATAATATTCTCATGCATACATGTCATACCATCAAAAACACTAGTCTTAACCTTTCCACAGAGCTGAAACCGCTACCGGAACTACCGCGACGGCAACAACCGCAACAACAACAACAAGTACCACCCCCACCCCAGCGAACACTCAGTGAAGAATCACCGGCCGAGAGACGACGACAACGTGCGGCTGTGAGACGACAATGTCACGAAGATGCCGCTCGGTCCGTGTCGGGACAATCCACACAACAGCAACAGTCACCGGCTCATGAAGACTTTGAAGTCACGTCCCAACAACGGGTACTGATTACACAACCCACCACCACTTCGGTATTGCAATCACAGTCACAACTACCACCACCCTCGGAGAATGTATTGCAATACACACCGCCACCATCACAACAACAAACGTCTGACCCCTTGCCATTGGAAACATTGTTAGTCAGAGAAGACGAAGCTGCTGCTTTGGAGCGATCCATTAGCGAACTCACCATGCGAAGTTCCTATCAAGGAGAAGTGACGCGGACCAATGGACGACCTGCTGCTCCCGATCAACGACGCATGGCATATTATGCCGTGGGACGTCATCATCGGCTCAACGCCGGAACCCGCTCCGGCGGCAATCGACGGTGCTACTTCAGTGGCAAACTCATCTTTGGTGGAGCCCCCTTTTATGCCGGAATTGTCCAACAAGGTTTGCGGACGTTGGTGGTCTTTTGCTTGCCGTCGGCGTTGGGCATGCCTCATAACTTGCCCGCATTTCATCAAGCCAGCGCCCCCAAGAGACGGCCCAGTTGTGGGGGTGCCACCGGTTCCAGCAGTGGAACCAGGGGAGGACTCTTGCAACGGTCCCGACGAACGCTCAGTTCGGCCGCGTCGGGAAGTATTCAACTGTCCAAGTCACCCTCCAAGCTCAGTTCCACCATTAATCTGGACGACATGTCGTTGAGTATTGAAGGAGATATCGATCCCAACTGGAACTTGGACAAGGACTTTTTGCTCAGCATTTTGCCCAATCCGTCGGATGAAGTACTGGCGGAAATGAACCAACGGTATCCGGAACAGTTTGAAACACTCCCCGTGCAAGTGCGTCATGCGTCTTGTTGGAGACTCTTTGTCAAGTTTTGTTTCTTTAGTGGCCTGCCCATTGCCGAGGGAGAATTGCACTATCAAGTGCGACCGTCCTTGGCACTGGAACTGTACGGAGAAGAGATTGTACTGAGTCATGATGTCATGGAAGCGGTGAATGGTGCTTCCAGTGCGGAAATCTTGAAACTACCCAATCGCAAGACTTTTCGGTATCTCAAGAAGCATTATCCACAGCAGAGTCAAAAGTTGCCAGATATTGTCTTTGAACGGGCTTCGTGGGAACAAGTCAAAGCCGAGGTGTGACAGGGCAGGAGGTTTGGAACCACGATGCAAAGAGGCTCGTGAAGGAGTACACTACATACGATGCAAAAGCAATGCTTGAAAACAGTACATGTTGTAGCAAAACGTAGCAATCATAATAACATGTAATCGTTGCATCCATCATAATATACACTACAGCATGACATACGCTAGAAAACTACAAAGATCAATCGATCGAGCCGAAACCTGGTTTTCTAAACCACACATTCCTTGTCTGATCAGTCTGTGGTAAGCTTTCTTTCTCCACCTTCTTTTACGGTCTACAAGAGAGTCCAGCACTTTTCGAGTTTGGCTAACTCTTGCAGGAAATACTTCATCGGCAATACAAGATCTATTGCTACCCCCACAGCACAATGTGCCTGCAGGATCTTGATCAGACAGATGATTTGGTAACTTTTCTTTCTATTATCCTTTCTCTATTGCTTGCTATGCGACTACCTAGTTCTTCTATAGTGTTGGTGCTTGAGTCCGATGTTGCTAAAAATCCCCAAGGTACTCTTCAGGTGGAGAAGCAGCCAAACGCTGGCGCTCCCTGCCGGCCTGTTGCTGGGTGATACCGGTACAGTGTGTGCACCCCTTCTGTTTGTTTCGTGCATAACGTCGGTTTGCGGTACCCACTTGGCTTCATTATCCAATGGCTAGCTAGACTTTGAACTGGTAGTAAGGCTTGACGCTCTTGTTGGACTGAATGGTCAGGAAATACTGCTTTCGTATCGGCTTGATTGGCGTTGGTTGGGCTCCAACGACAACCAACGCTTGAAAAGCCACAAAGGAGGCAAAAGGGAGAATCATCTGCGTCCTGGAGATAAGTTGGGCTGTCATGGCTGATTGGTTGTTTGTACAGCTGTTTGTACTTCGGTGTCTATCACTGGCAATGATGTGTGCATATGTTATGTTGCCTCTTGGATTTGTGAGCGGCAGAAGGTGGCAGAAGGCAGAAGGTGTGGGGTCTTGTGAGAAGCGGCTGAAAAAGAATGGGTTCTCGGGTACATGTCGGGATTGAGAGTGACAGTCACGTGCTCTCTTGTTGTTGAACGTTCACGACCAAACTCGAACTCCGGTGTCATTGAAGCTGCTACCGGTACGGTACGACTGTACCTGGTACCGGTAGGTGGTACCTGGTACCGATGTGCTTGCTTTCATCGAAGTTTCCAAATAGCCCCTCTAGCTAGCTAGCAATAGCCGTCTGATCGCATTGTCATGCCTGGCTACTACCGGTCTTTCCTCCAATGACTGAGGATTCTATGGGGAGGGTCTTGGCCTTGGCTTGGTGCTCCTGCCGGTATGCAACGCGGTCTCTGCACAAGCTAGCTATTCGCATTCAATCGTTGTGCCGCAATCATGACAAACAATGCATAGCAAGGGTCCTTCGTGTATGGGTGAAAACCCAGTGCACTGCAACAAGAAGGATTCTGCAAGAGCCCTGACCCACCAGAAGCAACTGTAATATACTGGTAGCTATCCTTATTGAGAACTAAATGATACATGGATTGACACCAGCAGGAGTGTTTCATGGGCTCGGTTGGCACTCAGTCTGCAGGTGCAATATGGGACGTTAGTGCTTTGGAGACCTCAAGGCTTGTTCTGGCCATTTACCAGGCACCCGTAACTCAGCAGGACGCTTTCAATGTGAGCCTCTGCAACCGTGTACACTTGCTCGCCGCACCTCTCCCATGCTTGCATCGTCTTGCATCCAGATCCCATTTGAACATAGATCATTTCTTGCTTGAGGTCATCCAAAGCTGCCTTGACCTGCCAGTTGGAACCCTCACCACCGGTCCGAGCGAGATCACGGGCCATTTTCTGCATCAGCGTGTGACTGTCACCCTCTGCATACTTGCAACACAGTAGGAAATCTTCTCCCTTGTGCGGGTCGTTTTGCTGATCGTGCAACGAAGCGCAAATTTCGATGCAGGTCTCCACCGCTTCAACTTTGGCTACCGCAATTGCCTGTTGGAGCCGATCCTTAGGTGTGATGGCTCTAAGTTGGCACTGGCAGAGCTCAGCTTCAATCTTAGCAGCCAACGAATCCAAGTTGTCCAGCGTCACAAAGGCATGTGATAGAAAAGCCTTGCTCACTTGAAGGTTGGCGCCGCCGCCACTTGGACTGATCTTACGGGTTCTAGATTGTTGCCGGTTGCTCGTCACCAGTGGAGTCCAACACATTCTGCCCTCCATCCTGTTGGAGGTTCGTTCCAGCTTCCTTCTAGTGTAGGTCAGGGCGGACTGTGCCGCAGTGAGTCGGCCAGTATACGTGCGCTGCCCGATGATATCCATGATTCGAATCTTCTTGGCAAGAGGGTGGCGTACTGTGCCGTTTTGGATTTTTAGATAGCGGCACAGATGGCATGACAGTGGAATTCGCAAGTGATCAAATGTGATCCTCGCATTGTTCAAGTCCAGTCCACCATCTTCAGGCCTGGGGCCCATGTCAAGCATGGTTATTCGGTCAAGGAGCTCACCAGTTTTTTCATCCCTCAACCTCACAAGGAACGCCTGAGGGCCGTACGAATGGTTGTGTACGATCATGTTGGCAATGACAATAGCTTCGTCTGCAACCAGGCCTTGAGCTATCCAAGTCTTGGCGGCAGTGTCGTACGGCGTGTGGAGTACGAACGATTTCTCGTCTTGCGATAGTTCGGCAACAGTGTCAACCATGAAACTACTTTGGTCGCCTGCCCGTTGTTCTGTAAGCGCAAAGCATCCTAGTGAGGGGCGGATCTCGTTTCGTAGAACAAACTGCTTTGCTTGTTGTGGAGAGCCCAATGCCATGACAGATCCCGCAAACAGGTTGTAGTGAAGCGCAAATCGAGCACAAAAGCCGGAACCAATTCGATGAGCGTGCTTGGCCAGCATTCGATGCGCCAAGAAGAACTTCTCTGGTTCATTCTGGATGTCATCCAAGGCCAGGAGCCCCGTCCCAATGACAAATCGAAGACTCTCCGCGGCTCGTCGCGGGCTCAAGTTATCGTCGAGATCAGCTATCGTTTCATTGAACTCTCTTTTCCACAACGAGCTGATGCTGTGGTCTTGATAGGGCATGATGTAGTGATGATGATATCGATAGAGGTCGGCACTCGAAATCCTGATGTTTAGCTAGCTAGTGGGCACATAAAATGTGGACAAAAAAACCTGCTTGGTCCACATTCCCACGGGGTGAATTTAGCGACCACGGCTTCCCGGATCTTGTTCCGGCCACTTCGCATTTACGGGATTAAAAATTTGGGGTCTCTTTCATAAATTTGAAGATTTATCAGGTACTGGGGCTACAGAGACCGTCCTCAACATTTGTTGCCAAAAAAACCTTATCTCGAAATTTCCAGATAGCCTTGCAAAATTTGATGACTCCCACAGGTCGCAGAAGTTGTCCTTGGGATGGACTAAAACAAAAATCATGGTTCCCGTCGGCTGGGTTCCCCGTCCTCTTCATCATTGGATGACTTTCTCAGCAACAACCGCATCAACGTTATTGTCTCAGCAATGTCCAGAAGACCAGTTCGGATGGTCCAGAGCCATTTCGAATCACCAAAGTTTTAAACTTTTCAATATAATCTGGGGTGGACCACAGTCACCATGATAAGCGATCTCAGCACCTCTCCAAGCACTGACGACGATCGTGGTTTTGGTTGGGGGCCTTCTCATTCGGATGAAGAGGATACTTTGTTTACTGACTTCTTCGGGGAGAGCAGCAAAATAGACAGCCCGTGGACTTGGATCGCAGACAGTTTCAATTTCTTTAGATGTGGGGCTTCAGAGCCCATACTTGTGGAAGACGGCCCCTTTCCATATTCCATGGATGAAGAAGACGACTTGTTTGCTCATGGACCTTGCAACGCGAACGTCTTCCGAGGGCCGAAGAGTGTCAAAAACGGAAGAGATGATGATGCGGCTACACCAAGGGCAACAGCAACGGATTCGTTTGCCACGCCACGATCAGGGACTATTTGTACGGCGAACGATGTGTCGCTGAACTCAATTCTCGGCTCGCATCATCCACCCCAGCCTACCCATCGTGTGTGGTCTTCACCACCTCGTCTGCATAACATGGCTACGTCACACAAGGGTCGTAGTGGGCGCCATCAGAGCGTACCAAAGATCCTTAACGAAGCATACTACTTTTCGGATATGGATACCTTTCTTTCGGATGAATTCACCGACATGGAACAGGGTTATTTTAATGGCCTCTACGATCAAATCTGCAGTCCTTCAAAGACACGCCAGGACACAAAGATAGACGCCATCCCGTCAGCCTACACCGCCGAGCCCAGGTCAGTCTTGTTATCGTTTGATGACACGATATCAAAGCTGACGATGGAAGACCAAAGGTCATGTTCCACAGAGACATTGGACGCATTAGATCGAAGGGCAACAATTGCAGCAATCGTCAGGGCACAGGCAAGGGGCGGGTGGCGGGCGATGGCGCAGGAAGAAGCAGAAGCGAAAGCTGAAGAGTTGTCTCGGTTTGGCATTGAACACACGTTCACAGAAAGCCGACTCGCCCCGGAAGAGCAAGCTCCGTTTACTGAAAGCCGACTTTCTCTATTTGGTATTGAGCGTACATTTACAGAAAGCCGCCTGTCCCCGCCCAATGTGCCATCTGACGGTGCTTCTGTTGATAGGCACCAAGTGATTCGCAAGTTCAACGATGAGACTCAGGAGTTTCAAAAGTTCCAGCCCAACTTCTTTTCATCTGAGTCTACGACCCAGTCCGATACAGAAGAGAGGGAGACAATCGATGATCCCAAGACCAAGACCAGCGCTCCAACGAAGAGCAGGTTCCTTCGTCCCTTTCATCGGAAGAAGAAGAAGGACTCAAAACAAGGCAAAGGGAAACACGGCAAGCGCTCTTCCTTTCTCAAGGCGTTGACGCCCCCAAGAAAAATCAAGCATACGGAGAACACAAGCACTCCCACGTCTACAACGGGCCTATCCACCACCGACACCACTTCAAGCTATGCTGAGAAAGGCTTTCAGGATAATTATGCATTCATTGAGTCTGATGAGACAAGGGAAATTGCGTCCATCCCTCAAAGAGATGCACCCAAAGAAACTCCTACTGTAATTGAAGAAGTGGAAGTATTGGAGAGGCGCAAAGAGCCCGTATATTCTTCTTACATTAGGAGTCCATCTTACAACGTTGTGGAGGACGTTGAAATTCTGCGGAAAGCAAGTGATATCTCAAACTTGAAGCATTTCCAGCCTGGATACCACCAGGAACAAGTAGTGAACAATGATGAGGATCATCTCTTTGAAGCTGGAGCGGGCGAGGGGAGAGGCTCAAGGGGACATGATCCAGCAGAGTCAACCAGCACTCAATTTGAATCTGAGATGACGTCCTCGTCAGTCGATGAACTTGGGTTTCCGACTGATGAAGGCCACGATGAACAAGATCCCACTGATACCTCCTCCTCCATTGGCCCTACCTTTCGGACAATGACATCTCGTCTGGCCAAGGAACGGGTGGATTCCCAACAGCTCAGGCTGATGCTAGAGAAGAAAGACGAGGATCTAGGACAGCTACGCGAGCTGCTGCATTCCAACGAGTCAAAGACAGTACTCGAGCGAGTGAATTCGTCGTCCAAAGCCAATCCCCTTGTGCAGTAAATTGGGTTAGACCCCGCAAGGAGGAGCCGGCTCTTGACGGCGGTCTAGGACCATGTAAGAGTATTTATTAAATGTTGACATAACTTTTGAAAGTTCCGTTGCTTCAATCTACACTAGTACTGCCTAGCTAGCCAGCTCATTCGATTTTTAAAGAAAAAACGGGCTAACCAGCAAATGGTACAAAACTTGGTTGTTCCCACGTTCCCACATTCCCACAGAGCTCAATGGGAAGCCCCTACCTTTGCCAGGTTCTAGTAGGCACCCAACCACAGCCACGCATTCGATGCACCAGAGATTGCTGGCTGAGAGGAGCCAAGGCGACCAAAGAAAAACAACAATATCTGTATAACGGATATGGTGCCGTAAGGGATATGGGGTGCCAGTGCACGAATCGCTCATGTGTCGCAACCGAAGCCTTGGGCAAACCCCCAAAGCCGAAGCATGGGTTGATCTCACAGAGAGGCAGCCAAGGGCACTCTCACCGGCAGCACACTCCCAAGGGGAGGTGGTGCATCAATGTCTCAGGACAGTATTTTGCATTGGCAGATCGTGCAGGACCATGCCAAACGCCAAACATCAAAGGTTGAAAGAATTGTTGAATGAGATGAAAGAGTTACCGGGAGGAAAGGAAGGGAGGGAGATAGGAGGGAAGGAGGATGAATCCCTTTACCCAGTCTTCAGACGGGTGGTGTAACTCTCTTGCAGGACAGGTTCCCAAATAGATTCATTGTCGAATGAATTCAATCAACACGGTTGGGCTTTGGGCTCTTGTACTATGAAAGCAATGAGGTCTGGAGGAGGTGGCGACCAAAAAAGTAAGTATCCTGGCAGCAAGCTACACTTCCACTTGGCTCGACTCAAGACAGAAGTAAAGTACGGTATGATGATCCAGAAGGAGTTACTCATAATATTTACATACATTCATGCATACATACATGTGCGTGCTAGCAAATAATGGGCACTGGGCAAGGAGCCATCCCATTGAACCTCGCAAGAAGTGAGCTAGGCAGCAGGGCAGATGTTAAAGCCAGAACAAGTAGCTGTTGTGGCAGCATGGTTGTTGAGAGTGCCAAGCGAAGCCGTCAAGAAGAAATCTCCAACATCTTGTACGCCGTCTGCATCGTCCAGTACGGCATGTTCCAGGACGAATTGCATTTGTTCGGTGCATTGCTGTGCTTGTCTGTAGTTGGCCAGAAGCATTTGAGCATGACCCAGATTGTTCCATACAGCGAGGCACAGCACGATTGTACCATCGTCGTGTCTTGATCCTTCCAATCGCTCCAGTAAGTCTTGTGCCAGGTTATAGAATTCTATGCTCTTGTGTACCAACCGGTTCTCACCGGTTCGCAGTGCTTCCTTGTGAAAGAAGAGCGCCGTGTTGTAAACGACAGAGGCGGCCAATTGGAATCGGCTTGTCAGTGGTAGCATGGGGTGGCTGCCCTGTACAAACACAGCCTTGTTGAAGAACGGAAGAACACCACCAATCTCATTGTTGGATGGCAAGTCATTAGCAGTGGACAGGAATACAAGTGCAAGGGGATGTTGCGGAAGCAACAGGTCATGCTGAGGATCTTCGTAAAGAACATCATCCATCATTTCAGTTCGATGAGGCTGGCTCTGGAGATCACTCAACAGGCCCTGGAGGGCAATCGTTGTGTGCTGTAATTGAACAGCGGCTCCGCCATTGTCTCCCTTTACCATAAGAGAGACCAACTTGGTGTTCAGGTTGAAGATAGTGGTATCGTTGCTGTTGTACATGGTTGCTGTGCTGTGGTTTCTTGCTACTAATGGGCTGCAGATGCTCCAGATTATGAGATCTACTCGAGGACTGGGTGGGATTGGTTTTGGAAATAAACTACTCGAGTATGTTGATGGTTGTTGCCAGTCAGACTTGTGTGTGTTCGCAACCGAAAGCTCGTGCCAGCGAAGAGTAGCAGTAATAACAAGCTGAAAAGAAGCTGAGGCTTGATGAGGCTGCACTGTGTAACTAACTGTGTGGCTTGTGCTTTTTGAGGTTTGGAGTGTCCAGCCTCCTGCCACACTTCAAGCCGCCTGGAACAACAGATCTCAGTTCTGGATCTTTCTATGGCAGCTTTTACCACCTTCAAGAATCACTCAAGCGAAGGCATCTTCACGCTTCACGGTCCAACGATGGTAGTGATGGCCGTACCGAAACTAGTTCCGAAACTACTGGACGGTGGGAACGTACGTAGATTCAAAGATTACTGATGAGTACTTGGTATTATTCAAAGATTTATGCCATTCTTTTGCAAGAGGGATTCAGTGGTTATTGGGGCTTATGGCGCCTCAAGGTGGCCACATGTTGCTTTCAATGTCTGGGCAATCACTAAGTCTGGGCTTGCCTTTAGAATGTCTGAGGACCCGAATATTTACGGACTTTCTTGCTCTATGCAGTCATTTACTCCCTCCGTCTAAAACTAATCTGACATCAGCGCCGGCCGTACACAAATTGCTATAGTAAAATCGCCTGCCGGGTTAGCGAGTCGACCGTTAACTCATGATAAATGCAAAATCGACCTTTTTCAAAGCCCTCTAAGAAGCCTGATTTCCTTCTTTATGTCTTCTCCAAATCGAGAGGGTTCGATTGGTATACTACACTTATAGGTTTGTATGATGATATATTTCTCAATTGGGTCAATAAATCCAAGATTACAAAAATTGATTTTTGAGGCAACCCTGTGGCTTAACGAGTGCACAACCTATATATCAATATATACATCGATTTAAAGAGCTCGAAATTAGCTTTCTAAATCCGTGCTGCTCGCATTAATTGGTTGAGTTGAAGAAAAGGTGCATCGATTCACCCTCAACCTGCAGATTAGTTTTAGACGGAGGGAGTAGGCAGTCTCAGAAAACACGAGAACAAGACCATTATCAATCGAGATTGGCACTTGCTAAATCGAAATCATCTTCTCGGTTGCCAACCGAAAGTGTTAGCTTGTGTTGTTCCGCAGCGTTTTCAACCGAGAGTGTACGAGTGTACTAGTGTACTAGACTAGTAGCTCTTTTGTTAGCTAAGTTTACTAGCTTTTACACCGTTTTCTAAGAACGTCCACGAGTACCAAAGTACCAGAGTAAACTCGGAAGATATTCTTTGTTAGATCGTTGTTGCGTTAGACGTTACTACGTTACTACTACTCTGGAGTACATAATAGAGAACACAAAGAATGGATGAGTGTGATCCCAAATCCCAAATCCCAAAGCAGCCTTTGGTGCATCTGCCCCAAGCATGGTTCAAGGTCGCCACGTGCACACCATCACGAGCACGCTCGTAAACTACTTCTGGACTAATAACTAATAACTGCCATCTGAAATTTATCTGAGTAACTTACCACAGCTCGTACATGTACCGTACGATGCACCACGCAGGATGTACGAGGCCGCGTAGCGCGCGTGTGGCATCCCACATGTGGCGAGTGGCGAGCCACCTCCGTGCAACCAGGTAAATGAGCCAAAAAGGAAGTAAACTTAATTAAAATGGGAATTGGAATTGAATGCAAAAACAGTGAAAACTGAGTCCCACTGGGAACACTGCTGTCACTGCTGTCTCTAAACTGTCTCTTTAGAATTAAAAGACAGTCTGTCTCAATGTCTCAACTGTCTAAAAGAGCTGTCTCATAAGTCTCTTTTTAGAGACAGCTATCAAAAATATTCTAAGAGATGGGGTAACTTTATATCTTTACATAAAATAAATTTCCTCACCCCCCATATACTGTCTCCATTTTGAGACAGTGGAGACAGCTCTCTTTAATTGGAGCAAGTAAGTCTTTATCAGGCTGTCTCAATCTGTCTCAATATTTATTTATTGAGACAGTATTCTCCTTTGATCATCTGTGATCCTTTTAAAATGAATCTAATACTAAAACGGCTAAATTCAGCTTTTAATGTAAACATGTAGATCCACTTACTTTTCTCTTTTTTCTGAAAGCCAGCCGATTTAGTTGAGAATTTTAAAAATGGTGAGAATTCGCTGGGAACACTGTGGAAACACCATGTCACCACACTTTTGAAATTATCTGCTTGTTCCTGCTTGGGCAAATCCTCATCAATAAACACACCACATTTGGCTTTCAAAGATACTCTAGCAGTTCAACCAATAGAGTCACCCTAGCAATACTTTGAGATAGGGAATACATAATTTGTATGTGGCGGTCGCAGTGGCGGTAGTGGCTTGTTCATTTGGCAGCCATGGAAGTAACAAACGACTAGCAAAGTGGGGAACTCATTTTTGCATTTTCTATTGGTGCTGCCAAACTCCAGGCGATCTTTGAGTCCAATTCCAGTCTAACCAAGCCCAACATTGCAGCCATGGATACACCTATGCGGCCAAGGAAGCCTGGTGAGAGTGAAGCTGCTGTTCTTATGCGATTGTCAATGACTGAAGAGGAGTCAGCCGTCCTACATTGACCGAAAGATGCGTCGATGCGTCGTTGGAACGGCCGTCGTCGAACGAAAGACGCTGGGCACTGAAGAAGTAGTACAGTACGTAAATGGAATGGAAGAAGAGTCAAACAAATCTATTCCTTTGTTATTGATAGTAGCCGCTAATACTGGTGGTATCGTACGGTACCTGTAGAGTCGAGTCGTCATGGTCGCTCGGAGAAAGCTCGGTGGTAGTGCAAAAGCAGTCATTCATCCATCGAACGCAAGAAGCTCGCTGCCGCTGTTTCCAGCATAACCAAAACAAGAGGAGCCTGTCATTGTGGAGACTTCATCAAAAGGAGTACTCAGAGTAAAGATGACCTGATCGAGGTACATCATCAATTACATTGTCTGTGGAGATAATCGAAACCATGAACAGCGACATCTGATTACAGTATGTCATGCAGCGTGTAGTTGCAGTAGGGTTGAGGCTATGTTTTACTCTCTAAGTCTTTTCTGTTTTCCATAAATCTTTAATATCGAGAGTTAGGGGTCAGGCTAGCAATGCAGTCCTTGCAGGACTCATCATTTCCGTTGTGTTCTTAAAATAAGGGTTGACATATCCCAAACGGTGCTTAAACTTAAGGGCTTTCAAGTCAAAACGCAAAACGTACAGGCTGGTTTTGGTGGGTTTGAGAAGTCAAAGCCAGCCTGTATAAAACTTGAGAATTCTCAACTTAATCGCCGGAGTAGCAGTGTGGTACCAGTACCGCGAGGTGCATCAGTTATCCGATCGGGAGGAGTGGTACCGTACTGTAGTGGGTGAGCTAGCTAGCTAGTAGAGTGTAGTATTGCCACCGCTTTCGCTCAGCCAACATAGCTGTTACTCCAGTAGGCCTTTGCAGGCTTCAAACCTTCAAGGGCCATTGCTGCTCTTCTCTACCAATGGACATCCCCGTTGATGTGGCTTTTGTGCCCGATGTAGCTTATTCAGTTGGACAGCTACTGTAGCTGGTGCTCTGGTGCTCCAAAGAGCAGCCTGCCCTTGTTTTGGTGCGCTGACTGCCTGACGTCATACGACCATCCACTGCAGTCATGCATCGGTTGTTTGATTTGGTTCAGGTCTGAGGCTAGCTAGCTACTGTAGTCATGAGAAGGCAAAATGAGGATCAGCCGTCAGGTGGAGCCAGGTTTACGTATGGTACCGGTACTACTGTACCGGTATGACATCGAGCCAGCCAATTTTGCAAACACCAGCTTGCTACTAGAGCACTAGACTAGACTAGCTAGTCACTCGATCCATCCTTGAAGCAACACCACAAAGTTCCACACCTGAAAAACAGACAGTTTCAGTAGTAGTTCTTTGGTCCAGGGATCATAGTTTACACCTTTCAGCATTCGATTTCAGCCAGCCTGACGAGCCTTTGACAGCAGTGTAACATATTTCTCCATCTTCAGCTGCTAGCTAGGCTGCTACTGCTGTTTGGGAACTGCGAGCTTCAAGGAGGCAAACAAATCAGTTGCTCTGACACTCAGGGATGTTGCTTCCATATCTTCGGCTTGTGGTGGCTTTACCAAAGCCAAAATGTTCATTGTTTTGCTCATTTTGACACAGTGAAGTGATTGACGGTCTCACATCTGCAAATTAGCTCGCCCGGAATATCTCTTACAGCTCCGCTGGGCTTCTACGGTGTCTCAGTATTTAACTTTCCAGGTTGGTGGGGGAAAGGTTTTGGTGGCCAGCAATGGAGCTGCGGCTGCTGTGGAGAGATGGATTACCTGATCCCAGCCAGCAGCAGCTACAGTACTAGTGGCTACCTGGTGGTAGCTCTAGCTAGTAGGGAGGGCCAAACTGTAATAAAGATTTGCCCCCGAAGAATCTTCTGTGTCATCATTGGCTTCTGCGACCAGCATGCTTTGAGCTTTGACAGAGACGAGCAATATGGAACGATCTGCGACGGTAGTACCGGTGCCAATGACAGCCCGGCAGGCACCCTCTAGCTAGGTACATTGTATCCTGCGAAAGCTGAGCGGAGTCGAGTCAGTCGAGCCGAGTGACACTCACTGCTAGCCGCGGCTAGCTAGCTCTAGTGCCTCGGAGTGTTGTGCGGACAGGAGGTCTGTGCGCAGATCTGCGGACAGGTGTCTTCATTTGTGGACTGACGTCTACAGCTTGATAGAGCCACGGCGAGGCCTTCAGACTGTTGATAGAGCACCGTCTGGACCACAAGAGCAAGTAACATAATAAGAGCGGTTATAGCGTCTCTTCTACAAGCATATAGACCCTCATTGTCGATGATTGTTGTTGTTTGTTGTTCTCCGTTTCACCTCAAAATCTGGAATTTTCTAGATATCAACGACCACTCAAAGTTGCCACCACCACGGTTCGTCATTGTTGCCTCAATATTGAGCTGCGTGCTGAGCCTTCCTCCTTTGCCGCTCCGAGTACTCTTCACGGTGGATGGCAACACATCTTCTTGTGTTCGTGGCGCCACCATAACGGTCCATATGCTTTCGAGCTGAGCACATTGAACTGCAGATTGCAACTCCTTTAATGAGCTTGTTTGCCCCGTACGTCTTCTCATTTGCCAAGCAATGAGGGTGGCTACACTCATTCCTGGTGTCCAATCCACAGACGACACATCTCCTTTTTGGGTATCGGCTCTTCACAGCATCGTGATGAAATACCTTGTTGTCACTGCTCTGCGTCGACGCTCCAGTGAAGAAGCTGCTTACGGATCCAAACGAAAGAGGAGATGGATTGGTTGGTGCGCAGCAACTCAATGCTAAGCCTTCGACCGTAGCAGCAGCTTGGTCCATCCACGTATCCGATCTCCCTGTGTAAGATGTTTTGCACAACGTTAGGCGACAAAGGACGCAACAGGAGTGTGACAGCAAGATCTTCGACTTACTTTCGGTTGTCAAATCAGGAGCAAGGTAGGTGCGAGGATTGTGGCTTGTTGTGTCCTTGCTGAATGGATTGTGGATGCAATCGTAAGCGAGGTAATCAGCAAACTCTTCCACGGGCAAGTCCTTGAAATGAGGGCAATGGTATCTAACTGCTTTGTAGCAATCCGTAGCAGCCATCCCAATAATGGTGAACTGTGTTCGCATCCACGGATTGGGAGTCCTCCAATACTTTTCTAAACCAAGCAAGTGCTGCCGTGCGTGGTTGTGTGTGTCGATGACATTACTCTTGCTGAAATATAGTGAGATGGCCTCCGGACGGGGAATCTTCCTCTGACAAACGTTTTGCCACTGGTCAGTAAACTTGGCAATGTAGGGCTTTTGAGAAGGAAAGGTGGAGGCAGCGTTGGCAGTCATAACAAAGCATTTGACTGACTTTGAATTCCACTTGTAGCCAATCGCCTTGAGCTTGATGTTAGTGTCTGGGGTGATGCACTGCATTACAAGGTGAGATCCAGCGGGGAAGTCGGCCATGGCCTTCTCCAGTTGACGCAATGGAAACCACCCATAGTTTGCAATAACAGCAGCAATGATTTCCGGTGCGTTTGGATTCTCTCCTCTCTCTCGATCAATGACATAGGAGCCAACTCTATCCTCGTTGTTTGGACGCTCTTCGGGAGGAACTCGCCACAACAGTTTCAAATTTTCTGCAACCTTCACACTACCAAACCAAGAGTCTGCAAGCACAAGATGCTTCCGACCTGTTTCGAGTGCGTTGCGACGAGCCGATGTCGCCATTCCAGTATGCATCCCACCAATAATACATCGGAGAGTGCAAGCTGCAGTTGCTCCAACCTCTCGATGAAATTCGGAGTCCCTCATCTCCGGCACAGTCCTTTGAGTTTCAAGGAAGAGACTCATCTTTGTTTCAGAGCAGGCGGCCATCTTGAATTCAGTTCCGAGAGGCTTTGGCTTTCTTTTGACATAAGAAAGCTTTGGAAGCTTCGACGTCTTTGTCTTCCTTGGCTGGAAAGCACTCATTCCTTCATCGAGAACAATAACAACGCTGCCAGCCACCAATTCCTTCCGTGCTTTGTTGAAATCCTCAACCAAGCTAGTCAGTGGATGCCATTGATCGTTCACGTCAGCATCATCACTATAAAATGCCCGAAAGAGTCTTTCCTTGATCTTTTTAAATCGATCCCATGACATGTACTTCTTGAAATTGCCCTTGCCGTCGAACTTGGACTTGTCGACAAGAAACTCAAAAGGAGTTGTCACTCGTCGCGGGTGCTTGGTATCCCTGAAAAGAGGCTCTCCGCCAGTGTGGTTTGGACAAGCTGCAAAGATAATACCCCACGTTACCCACCATTCGTGCTCCGACACCAAAGATATCTTGCGCTTTGGATTGACTCTGTTGTGAGCAGAGATTGCAGCATTCAAATTGTACAGATGTTTCCTCCAGTTGCCAGGCCACAGATGCATCAACAACCGAAGCCATGGAAACGAATACTCCTCGTCGATTGCCACATCCAACTTATCAGGATCGAAGGATGTAAACTGGAAATCGACAACTCCATTAACTTGGAAAGGAGTGGGGGCATTGCCTTGAGGATGGGAATCTTCCACGATCTCCCAAGTCATAACTCTCTTGTCTCGAACAAGCGTCAAGGCAGTGGAAGGAACCTTGGGGGTTGGCTCTGCCTCGTCATTGAAGTGAACGATCCAAGATGGAGGACCACCCTCTTCGCGGTCGCTTCCAATAACCTCTCCGAAACGCTGTCGCCCATGGCGTTCCTGTACTTGCTCAGAAATATCAATCCCTTGTGACATGGGAGCCTTCCTTTCCACCGTCCATCGCTCACGGAGCAACCGAGCTTTCTCTTGTTCGTACTCTCGCCACTTCTTGGCGTGCTTTTCTTCGTCCTCCATGCCTTCAACAATTAACAAGTCATTCGGATCAATGACTGGTTGGCCATCCTCGTCGGTTTCGTCAACATCAGTATGCCGTGGAAAGTCTTCATTCATGTTTTCATCGGTGCCCTTGTCAGAGTCTGGAGCAGTTTCGTCACTGTCACTCAATTCAATCCGACCGGGAACTGAAGAGTGATCAGAATCAGACTGTGGAGGAGGAAACGAGTGGTGGGATGACTGTAACTGGTTGGACGGATGCACCAAGGAAACAGATGATTGGACCGATTGTTCATCATCTTGTTCTGCAGCGATTCGTCTTGCACGGCGACGATTCACTGCTGCCATGATTCCTTCATCTTCATCACTTTCGGAATCCTCGGAATCCTCCGAATCCTCGGGAGAGCAAGGTGGTGATGCTTCTGCTTGGGACTCCTCGATTGGTGGAGGCGGTGGAGGTGGTGTGGGTGGAGGTGGTGTGGGTGGAGGTGGTGTGGGTGGAGCCGGTGTGGGTGG